TATTAGGCCACACCCCACATGTTACCAGAAGTGTGGTCATCCAACCACACCCACCTTTTGCTTCTTATTCTGTTTACTTTGATGTCAAAACCCTGGGCTTTTTTTTTGTAGCAGGAACTCCTTTGGATGTTAGGCCACACACCCCTAATGTAGCCAATCCTAATGAGTTTCTGCTGTTGGGTGTGGCCTATTATGCTAATTAGTTCCTGCTGGGCATGGCCAACTCAGGAGCCAGCTGGAACTCCGTTCCTGTGCGTTCCTGCCCCAAAATAGCCCTGGTTGTGGGAGAGCTTCCTGGGAAAGCTTTCGATAGGGCTGTAGCTAGGGTGCGAGGGTTGCCAGCCCCCAGGTCCCAGTGGGGATTCCCCTGCTTTTGAGGGCCCTGATTCACCGCCAACCAGCTGGCCGGTGGGGGAAACCTCACCCCCAAACAGGGATGTTGTCATGTGACATCCACAGCACAGTGACATCACAGTGACATCATCAGGTTGGCAACGTCACGTGGCGGTGTTCTGGTTTTGGGGCAAGCTCTATGGTGTTTGTTATGTCTTCATGTAATAAAGACTTATGCCAGCTTCTGTACTGTGAAATATTATAGAGCATTACAAGGATTGTACTCACGGCCAATCACAGTGGCCTCTGTATTCGGCGGGAAGCACTCTCATTGGTTCCAAGCTCCATATTCCTATTGGATGTTATGTGTTTACTGGGTGGGGTTTTGCCCTGTTTAATCGTATAGAGGTAAGCCCCGTTCTATGCATTTTCGTCCAGTGTTTGTCTTGTGTTGTTATGAGCTGAATAAACATGAATCACTTGTTTAAGAGCTGCCTCGATCTCAGTTCATAATAGTTTTGAAGCCAAAAAAACCATAGAGTTTTAGCCCGAAAACCAGAGTGTCATGCACGATGTCACTGACATGATGATATCACTTCTGGGTGATGTCATCATGTCGGGGACGTCACGTGTGACGTCCGACCCACCCTAGGAACACTCCCCAAATCCCCCCACCACGATGGCGAGGGAACCTGGCAGCCCTCTAGGCAGGCTTCCCAAGTCCCCCCAGGGGGCGGGGAAACCTCCGCCCCAGAGGCCCATTCCCCGGTGCTGCCGGATCAGGCCCTGGGGGGGGGAACTCCTCCCCGACGTGCGCGTCACCTGGAAGTGACGCGACCACGCCGGGCACGCTGGGGGCGGGGCCACAGTCATCTGAGGAAAAACTCTATGGTTTTCCCTTATATGGCCGTGGCCCCGCCCCCAGCGTGCCTGGCGGCATCACGTCACTTCCGGGTGATGTTCGCACGCACCAGATGCCGGCCGGGAGCCCCCGCTCCCGGCGAAGATCGACTTGGCAACCCTACCTATAGGGGGCTCCAACCAGTGGGTGCCTTTACCTGGGCTATTGCTTTCTCCCACTGTAATTTAGCAAGGTGCTTCAAGGCAGTCAGAGTGGACCTGAGGCAGGGGGAGCCAAATCATCCATCCTGGTGGCTCACTCCTCCCTAGGCTTGCCAACCTCCAGGTGGTGGCTGGAGATCTCCCAGGATGACAACTGATCTCCAGGCAACAGAGATCAGTCCCCCTGGAGAAAATGGCTGCTTCGGAGCGTGGACTTTATGGCGTTATACCCTGCCTTCCCTTCCCCAAACCCTGCCCTTTCCAGGCTCCACCCCCAGGAATGTCCAGGAGTCTCCTAGCCAGGAGCTGGCAACCGCCCAGTCCAAGCTTTTTGGTGACTGGCCCCTCCCCCCCGTGGTGTGCTTGCCACCTGCTGCAAATGGTCTGGGGAAGGTCTGGCCTCATCTGGAAATGTCTCGGCCTCACCTAGCGAGGATGGCTAGCTGATGAGGTGGCTAGGCAGCTTTCTCTGCTCCATGCTAGGGCAGAAACTGGCCCATGGACTGTCCTCGGACAAATACCCAACCTCCCTACCCCAATGAGCTACTCACAGCACCAACAACAACATGAAAGCAGCCAGCATCCGGCCCCTCACTGAAGCCAAAGAAGGATGACACACCAGTCCAAATAAACCCGCCATCTGACCCTTTGATGTGCTTTGAAATCCTCCTGAGCCCGGCACACATCAGTCTTCTCCTGGCTTGTCATGGGATTCTCTCTTCATATCACTGCATTTCACACTTGGCTCCTGCCGGGGCTCAGCCATGTGTCCCTGATAATGTTCAGATCAATATGAAAACACATCGTTTCGCTGTTGCAGCTTTGTGTTTCAGGGTCCGTCCCCCCCCCCCTTCCTAGCGTCATCTTGAAGCTCTGGAACCATCACTGAGGTGAAGAGGCTTACGTTGGGTGTTGGGGTGTTTCAGAATTTTGTGCCCTCTCTGGCTCACTTCAGAAGCTGGTGTTCCTTTGATAGCTTATCGGTGTCTGGGACACAATTGCAGCTGAAAATCCCGAGTACAACCGACATTCAACTGGATGCCTGTTCACAATTGACAGCTACTGACTGTTGACTTCAGACTGAACACTCTGCCTTCTCTCTTTCTTTTCCCCTACAATTTTACTAAACCTCACAAGATTATGTTTTCTGTAAGAATTCTACTAATTTCTTTAGGTCTTTCCCCTTTAAGAACTACTTTACCTAGTCGGCTGTCCTGGTCTTGGTGTCCAGCAGAAGGCCATCCTCCAGAATCCCCCTCCCCCCGGAAAGGGTTGCCAACTTTAGGCTGGTAGCTGGAGATTCCCCAGGATTACAGCTGGTTTCTAGATGACAGAGATTTGTTCCCCTGGAGAAAATGGCTGCTTGGGAAGTTGGCTTTTATGGCGCCATACCCTGCTGAAGTCCCTCCCCTCCTCACACCCCTTCCTCCCCAGGCTCCATCTCCAAAAATTTCCCAACCCAGAGCTGGCAGGTGTACCAGTGGACCACATTGGGTCTTTGACCCATGCCTGTTAGTCATAGAATCATAGAACCACAGAGCTGGAAGGGGCCATCTGGCCATCTAGTCCAACCCCCTGCTCAATGCAGGATCAGCCCTAGAGGATCTCTGACAGGTATTTGTCCAGCCCCAGCTTAAAGACTGCCAGGGAGGGGGAGCTCACCACCTCCCTAGGCAGCTGATTCCACTCTTGAAGAACTCTTACTGTAAAAATGTTTCTCCTAATATCCAGCCGGGACCTTCCTGCCCTTAATTTAAACCCATTATTGCGAGTCTTCTCCTCTGCTGCCGACAGGAGCGGCTCCCTGCCCTCCTCTAAGTGGCAGCCCTTCAGATACTTAAAAGAGAGCAATCCTGTCCCCCTCTCAACCTCCCCTTCTCCAGACTGAACCTTCCCAAGTCCCTCAGCCTTTCCTCGCAGGGCTTGGTCTCCCCGTCGCTCTCCTCTGCACCCGCTCCATTCCGTCCACATCCTTTCTGAAGTGAGGCCTCCAGAACTGCACACAGCACTCCAGGTGTGGCCTGACCAATGCAGTATACAGCAGGACTATGACATCTTGTGATTTGGATGTTATGCCTCTGTTGATATACTCCAAGATTGCATTAGCCTTTTTTGTCGCCGCATCACACTGGCTGCTCATATTTAACTTGTGGCCCACCTGTACCCCAAGATCTTGTTCACACACACACACACACACAAACAAACAAACACACAGAGCTACCTAGAAGTGTATCCTCCATCCAGTATGTGTGTTCGTTGTTTTTGTTACTCTTAGTCCAGTGGTGGCGAACCTATGGCACGGGTGCCAGAGGTGGCACTCAGAGCCCTCTCTGTGGGCATTTGTGCCGCCCCAGCCAGGCCCAGACCATCATTAAAATGTCGAATTCTCTGCCAAATAATTTTAAGTCAATGAAAGCATTTGGGATTGCTTTCCTTACTTTGTTTGGATCATCTTACGTTAATGTATGAGTTGTTTTTTCCAAAGTAAAACCTCAGTATTCAGGTTAAATTGGAGTGTTGGCACTTTGCAATAAATAAGTGGGTTTTGAGTCGCAGTTTGGGCACTCGGTCTCTAAAAGGTTCGCCATCACTGCCTTAGTCTATCACAGTCTGGATTGTCTGTTTTTACTGGCAGCATCTCTCCAGAATCTCAGGTGGAGGTCTTTCATATTGCCTACTACCTGATCCCTTCAGCTCGAGATGCCTGTAATCTGTATCCATTTCTAGCCTCTCTTTAGGGCTGCTATCTAGCCCTTTTTTTTGGGGGGGGGGAACTGAGAGGTAGTGCTGTGAATGGATTTTGCCTTAGGGGTTTTGTTGGTCCCCCCCCCCCCCCCGTGGGTCGGGCGGCATTGCACAACTTTTTTTATCCTTTTAGCCCTGGAAAGATGGAAAGACACAGGCACTTTTCCTTGCCTCTTAATAAATTGCTTAAAGTATTTCTGTCCTGCCCCCATGCTCAAGCACGTCAAGCTAGTTTAGCAAAGTAAAACAGTTTGAGAGGAAACAACCAAACGAATAAAATCTTATGGCTACCCCCAACAACGTTGCACAATGTAACGGCAACACATAACAAGCAGCAATAAAAACCTTAATATTAAATAAAACATCCCCATTGTTTTTCCTTCCAGAACTAATAACACCATGGGGAAAGGACTCAGCTTCAGTCATCAAAATGGTGCAGGGCGAGAAAGGATTACACCCACTCTCTCCGCCCACTGCAGCCTTAATCCGAGTCAGAACCTCTCGATTTGGTTGCTGTCGTCATTTTTGCCACCAAAAAAAAAAAAAAAAGCTGGAAAGATCAGTTCACAGGTTTTCCTGCATCATGTCTGGTTTGGTTCCTGAGTTGAACACTCGTTGAGTGAAAGTTGTAATTGCAGCCAGTTGCCTCTTCCTGATGCAGATCCTGGATTTGCCCCTGTGTTTAACCATAGAGTTTTGAGTGAATGCTAGAGAATGCTAGAGAATGGCCCGGCGTTATGATGTCACTTATGAAAGTGATGTCATGACATCCCTGCAATACCAATTCCCCCCCCCCCATTTCTCACCCTGCTGCGGTGGCTCAAGGAGTTAAGACGCTTAGCTTCAGACCGGAAGGTCAGTGGTTCAGCGGTTTGAGACCCAAGTGCCGCGTGACGGAGTGAGCTCCTGTCTCTGGTCCCAGCTCCTGCCAACCTAGCAGTTCGAAAGCAAGAAATTGCAAGTAGATAAATAGGGTACCATTTTGGTGGGAAGGTAACAGCGTTCCGTGTGCCTCGGTGTCTAGTCATGCTCGCCACATGACCACGGAAATGTCTTCGGACAACAGAGATGAGCACCGCCCCCTAGAGTCGGATTCGACTGGCTTTCGAGCAAGGGAAACCTTTACCTTAACCATAGAGTTTTGAGTGAATGCTAGAGAATGGCCCGGCATTGTGATGTCACTTATGGAAGTGATGTCATGACATCCCAGCAATACCAATCCCCGCCTCCCATTTCTCCCTGCAGTTTATCCCCAGCAACCCTAGCTGAGCAACAGAAGGTAGAGCTGGTGGGTGGGGAGGTCTTCCGTCAGAGCAGGAGGCCCTGGCTTCCCTGGCCTTCTCTGTGATCCACACTTCCTTCTTTATTGAACGGATGTACAAACCTTTGAACTTCAGCCCAGTATCAACTTGTCCTTCCACTTTTTCTAGGAAACCATGCCTTAGCTGTGCAGAATGCTGATTGGCTGGTACTTGTGACAATCACAAAGCCACATCCCTCCCCCCTTGCCCAGAGCAATACCTCAGCTTGGTTTTGTTCAAAAAGAGTAGTTTTATATAAAAGGTACCTAATAAATGTTTCAATGAACAGTCAGGCTAGGCCAGGGGTGTCGAACGCATTTGTTATGAGGGCCAGATCTGACATAAGTGAGACCTTGTTGGGCCGGGCCATGTGTGTCATAAAATGTAATGCCAGGTTGTGGAGATATAAACTTTATAAAGGACACAAACACAAAGGGTTTTTTTTTAACTTAAAATAAAAACATGCTTAAAACATTAGCACTCTTGCAATATTTTGTTTATTTAACCGTGTCTGATAACTGACACCCCTTGCTCTGAATTATTGCATCAAAATGTCTGTGCTGTTGCAATCTTGAGTGTGCTGTTCAGGTGTGTATCTGTAAGCTGCAAACCTATGATAACTCAGCAGCAGCAGAACTGGAAGAAGAAGCAGAAGACAGCCAGTTCTACTGCAGGCCTGATAGAAGCCCTCCAGGGGCCTGATCCAGCCCCCGGGCCGCATGTTTGACACCCCTGGGCTAGGCACTTGAAAAAGGCTTTTAAAAGCCAAAGGCCTGCCCAAGGTATAGGGGGAAGGAGGGGTAAAACTTAATACTGCTGCTGGAGTTAGGAGTGAATGTCAGTACAGGGTGGAAAGAAAAAAGAAAAAAACCTCACCTACTCCTGGTCATATTATGAGAAGACAAGAGTTGCTGCAAAAGATGGTGATACTAAGAAAAGTTGAAGGTGGCAGGAAAAGAGGGAGACCCAACATCAGCTGGACCAAGATGAGTAGCCGTCAATGCTCCCTCTGAGCTGTGGAGTTTTGCGAGCAAAAATTCTCCTTTGTGAGCTGCTGGCATTCAAGTTGTGAGCGAGCGATTTGGCTCCTGCATGAATTAGTTTGCTCTGGAGCCCTCCTTCCTGAGCGAAGACAAAAATGTGTGAGCCGGAGGCTAAAAAACTGTGAACTAGCTCACGCTAATTTAGCTGAGAGGGAACACTGGTAGCCATGTCAGTCTGTCTGCAGCAGTGGAAAAGAAGAACAGTCCAGTAGCACCTTAAAGACTAACAAAATTTGTGGCCAGGTAGGAAGTTTCGTGAGCTCAAGTGCTCCTCCCCTGCCACAAGTGTTGTTAGTCTTTGAGGGGCTGCTGTTTTCTACTGCAACATGAGACGGATCGACTCAATCAAGGAAGCCGCAGCCTTCAGTTTGCAGGACCTGAGCGAGGCTGTTAAGGACAGGACATTTTGAGGGTCATTAATTCGTAGGGCACCATAGGTCAGAAGTGACCTGACAGCACTTAACAAACTCACACACTCCTGAAGGGAAGAACACTACACATATCTTCCCTCTTCAAGCTGCACTCTGTCATGTAGCAAGAGGTGGGATTGGAAAAGCCAGTTCAATCCAGGCTATAGATTCCTTTCCCCGATCTACCAGGCTTTGCTTTAATTCTGATCTCTCCCTCTCCCCCAAAAACCAAATTTCTGGTTCTTTCCAAGAAACCTGTGTGTGTTGGGGAGGAGGTGGTGTATACACAAAAAGGATTGCATGATAGATTCAGCAAACCTTTCTTTGGTTTGGTTCTTGTGGGCAGAAATTCCCTCGGGCCCCAAGGAGCAAATGTTATTGTTCTTCACCAGTCTGGTTTTTTCCTGTAGGGGATGAGTGGGGATGTTCCCTACTTCCTGGTTGGCTGTTAGGTTTCTTTTTGTAGTCATCTGTAGTGTTTGCCAGTGATCTCCTTCTTCATCTTTCACAGTTGGTTTTGAAGCTCGATTGGTGTTGTGTTAAGGTTGCCAAGTGGGGGCAGGTGGTGGGTAAACCCCTGCTTTGGAGGCCCGATTTCCGCCACCGCGGAATTGGGCCCCGGGGGGAACTCCGCCCCCCGGAGCGCAGCGTGGTTGTGTCACCAGAGGTGACGCAACCATGTGGCTCACGTTTGGGGCGTGGCCCCGATCGTCGGAGGGAAACCCCCTCCGACGGTCAGGGCCACGCCCCCAACGTGAGCGACGTAGCACGTCACTTCCTGTGACGTGTTGGCGGCGCGCGTGCGCATGCAACGCCGGAGAGCTCCCGGAGCCCGGCGAGGCTCCCCCACCACCAAGGTAAGTAGACTTGGCAACCCTATGTTGTGTACACGTGCTGTAGATGTATACGTAGGGTGGAAATATAGTTCAGTGCTCATTTACTGACACACAAATAGGATTGGGGAATGGGGCATTTTACATGGGAAAGTTTGTGTGAAAAAATGGCATGCAAATAAACAGAGTTTTGATTCGCACCAAGGAAGACGCAGAACCGAAATGGGGATATTCAAGGAGATTTGAAACCTCACCTTGTTAGCCCTGCTGTTAACCTGCAGAAATTCG